CAGCTTCCAAAGCCTTCCTGGCCTCTCTTTCTTCTTTTCTCCCCCCTCACCACCACCACCCGGCTCTGTCTGCGCTCCTCAGCCTGTTGGGCTCTGCTGCCCTGCTCGCCTCTCCCCTGACAGATTTATGACGCTTTTGTGGAATTTTCTAAAATAAAAAAAGAGGGAGTTGAGGCAGGGAGGGGGGCAACCATGCAGCGTCTGTTGCTTCTACAGCAGCGAACAGTAGAACGAATTACACACGGATGCACGGAGAAAAACATGCTTAGAGTTTACCTAAACTGAGATGGTTGACCAGAAACTGCCCTTCTGATTGTATACTCTCAGGATTCCAAGTATGTTCAAATAAAATAAAATAGATTATTTATCTGCGTAGAAGGAATAAATGTGTCTGATATTTTCGGGCCTTTCCAAACACCTTGCTGACTAATTTTCAGCAGTCATATGAAAATATTAAATTGCCGCAGTGAAAAAAGGCATGGCGGGGTGCACACAAAAACCAAGCACCGTGGCTAATTGCGTGACTTTCAGCCATTCTTTACTCAAATCATATCAAAGCAGCAATAGCTCTACTGGATCTTCAGAGGGAAGCCTGTACAAAGAGCACCATGACTCCCCATGTAGCTTCCTCGAGAACTCAGCTGTCACCAACCCCATGTGTCCAAACATCCAGGCTACACTACCATCTATTAAGCCGGCTTTGTTAATATCATCGCCCATGGAACAGTCTATGACACGGAGCTGTAAACACGAGAGCAACATGTACCATGGTTAATGTGCAGCTTTCTCATCCAGGGGAATATCTGTGGCGTCTGAGCCTCGCTACCCGTCGTGCTGCCGCAGGCTGGTCCCGCCGCGCCGCCCTCCTGCTTCTGCACGGGATGCGGGTGACCGGTCCTGGAGGACTGGTTCCTGCCGTGGCCAGTGTCCCGGCTGTGGTGCAACTCGTCGATATCTTGCGATGCGTCGTCCAGCTCCGTAAAGCGCTGCGCCGTGCCGCCGCCGCCGCCTCCGCCGCCGCCACCGGAGGAGTTGGAGGACAGGTTTGGAGAGCTGAGATTACCGCTTCCTGGTTGCTCCGAGCGCGGAGACGAACTCTGGGCGCAAAGCTTGGTGTCTCCGCCGGCTGTTGACAGAAGAGAGTCTGCCACGGAGGCAAGGGAGCAGCTGGAGGGCTGTTGGAAACTCCTCTCCGGGGTCGGGGAGCCATAGCCCCGGGAGTCCCCGACGACAGAGCCGCCCCCGAAGTGTCCTCCGGTATTGGCGGCGTTGCTGCTCCCCCCTCCCCGGCTGGTGACGGTCAGGTCCATGCCATTGTAGCTGTAGCCATAAGAGCCCGTCGCATGGTGCATGGTGGCGGAGGAAGAGTCCCTGTACGTCCCGCCGTTCATTGCGCCGCTGCTGGCTCCATAATTTAGCAGTTGATAGTCGGGGCCATTTGGGTAGCGCCCCGAGAACGAGTTTACAAAGTAAGAGCTCATTTAGGTTGTTTTAGAGAGTTGCAGTCTTACTGTTAAGTACCACGGGGCGCTTGATTTGTTAGATTTCTCTTGGTCGTTATAACGCGGGTACTTTCAACGATTTATGATGTATTAGTGAATTATGGCGTTGCACTGTACTTCGTTTTTAGCTTTGTATGCGCCGTCCAAATATGGGGGTGGGGTGGTGTGTGTGTGTGTGCGTTCGATGGAGGGGTGTGTGTGTGTGTGTGATGGGGGAGGTGAGGGGTGAGGTGAGGGAGGAGAGAGAAGGAGGAGGTGCGGTCACGTGCTTTTGTTGACCAGTCGTAAATTCTCGCCGATGACTTTGGAGAGGTAATTCATGCTCTGAGGTTTCTAATGATGGAGGGGAGGGCGGGGGGAGCGAGCTCTCTCACCCTTACTCTCTCTCTCTCTCTCTCTCTCTCTGCTGGAGGTGCCGGGGGTGAGCTCAGAGCGCCACCTACTGCAGTCATAATTTATTGCAGCGATTAAAGAGACAGAAATGGAGAAAGTAGACCAGGTCTGAACTCTCCTGAGTGTCCCTTCATGTGGCCGCATGTGTCGTTTCTTTCCAGTCTGTTCAAAGACCTTTGCTCAGGCTGGAGAAGAAGAGGAAGTGATCCATCAAATAATCAGTTAATAAAGGAATATTTAACAGTGATACAAGACGGAAATGCCACTTTCTACAACACCATCAGCAAAAACGATGCCCGAGACGTCACAAACATATCACTGCATCATTCTGTGACATCAGAAAGCTACAGAGATTCAGTCCCCCCCCCCCCCAAATCTTGACAGAGCAAAATGACCCACATTAAATGTATCCACCGCATCAACAAAATCAACGCAGTAACTTTGTTTAACCAGTTAGTGTTTTACAGTGTAACAGTCTTATTACCAGGCTCCTCCACTGCCATAGTCTATTAGAATATTTTAATTAACTTTTAATCACCAGTATCTTCACAACAAACTTTTACAATGACCAAAACCTAATCTTCAGTGTGACCAAACTCAAAACTCATTAGGCCTTCAACTGTGCATCTTTCTTTCTTTGTCTTATTCTTTCTCATCCACTCCGTCTCTCTCAGCTTCCCTTCATTCCAGCTGCAGAGGAATGGTACACCCGATCTGTGATGTCCAAAGTGGATGGAAATCTACTGATTTATGGTTTGTTGATTCCCAGGCAGGGATGCATTTCAGCCAGGGTGCCTCTGTGTGTCTGAGTGTGCGTGTGTTATTGTAGTAGGCCTCAGCGTGCACTCTGGTGTGCATATTTCATTGTAACGCTGACACACACAACACAGTACATGCACGCCGACGAGAGCATGGGACAGATGAGGAATTCCAGATTTTCAGTGTGTGAAATGATACAAATGAATGCACTCAGCAGGGATGTATATGTGTGTGTGTCTGTGAATTGCAGGCCACATTTCATATTACTCAGCTTCTGGCGCATGTAGCATCAGCAAGAGGAACCAGCAATTGGAATGGAAATCATCTTGAATATTTCAAAATGACCTGGCAGAGAAAAAAAGAAAAGTGCTGCAAGAGGCAGAAACTCAGGGCCTAAAATCCACAAAACAGATTTTTAGCCACAAGAGTTTAGATATCAGCACTAAATCAGCCAGCAGTTGGCCTGAGAGCAGGCTGCAGAGGCCTTCAGAAATATAGAACCCAAAGTGTGCCAGGAATGCAGGGACAGGCCGGAGGAGGCACTGACCCAGTTGGCACACACTTCTCAACACACTCCCCTCATTATATATAGATTTCAATCATCCCACTAAATATTTGTGCCATAAAACAACTGGACTGACCATTTTGATCCAAACAACTTCCCCAGTATCTGATAAGAGAAATCAGGGGCTCTGATTTATTTTGCTTCTTAACTTACATAATTATGTTTTTACTTAAAATGCACTACATCCTTTTTGTGAACCACTTTTTTGTTCCGTCGTTATAATGTTCTGTTGGCTCCTCGGTTTGCTCGTCGGCTCTGACGATGGTCAGTACTCAGGGTTTGAATCCCTGTTAGCCTCTTGCTCACACGGCTTGTGGATAAAATCATAGACTTCATGGCAGATTTTTTTCTTACACTCAGCGCACAAATGTGATCCTGATTCATTATAATCTGTATCCTAATGTCCAGCTGTGCACAGATGTTAAAATGCTTCAGATTTTCATACTTCAGCTGCAGTTAAATTGTTACAGATTTTCTTTTTTTTCCGCCTTATGGTCAAATGAAACGGTTTTAAAGTAAAACAAAGCAGCTTTTCAAAATCCTCAAAACTGTTTCAAACATAATTAATGTCTAAGACAAAATTGAGAACCATTATACGCTTCATCCAAAGTACGAAAAGCAGTTTTTGTGCGTCGGTCAGTAAAGTGAGCCCTCTGAGTCTCAGTAAAACCATCGTGTTTAACAGAGAACATCTGCCAGCATATTCACCTTACAGCGGACATTCTCACTGTGGGAAACAAATCAGAAACCCGGGCATGGTCAGAGCCTCAGAAGAGAGACGCCTGTGCAATGAATACACAAACTTAATCAAATCTTCTGCTTGTCACAGTCTTCAAACTCTACTGCATGAGATGTAAAAAAGATCTTTTGGAGGTGACTCTGTGAGTTGCTTTCTATTATTGAACATAGTCTCACTGCTGAAACACAGCGATTATCATGGCTTACTGCACTGAAACAAACCTTACTGCCTCTCACACACAAAATGTTTTATTTTCTCATTACTTGGGCTATTTACTGACAATCGCTGCTGTATATTACATTGGCACCATGTTCTACATCTGAACAGGCTTTTATTGGCTAACTTCACATGTCCAGCTCAATATAGTCAGCACGCTGAGTGGAGTGAAAGTGAATTTCTCCACATGTTATTATGAAAAACACTAATAAAACACGCACGGCCTCTTTACCAGTACACATATATTCAAACTCAATAACATTAGAGTGACGCTTTTATGTAATTGTGTCTCTTTTGGTTGGAGCGTTCAGAAAATACGCACGGGTCACGTGAAATGGGAGCTCTAGAGTCACTCAGAGGACAAGCAGAGTTCAAAGGGTCACGAGGACATTGTCCACTTTGTCTGGGTGAAGTGTGTGTGCGTGTGTGTGTGTGTGCGTGTATGTGTGTCTGGCCGGCTCGAGGACAGATCAACTTTCTCTCTCCCTCTGCTCTGGTCATCAATTAGTTGAGTCCGGCGGCGGCGGCTCGCGCGCCCTGTCACTTCGCCACCGGACCGCCGCTCGCTCGCGCGCTTTACGTGCCCCCCATCGGCCTCGACTTCGCCTCGCGCGCCGTAAATATGTGCGCGGCCGTTTTACGCACAAGAGCAAAGAATCTGAAAGGTTTACGAGTCTCGGGCGCGCATGTCAGTGAGTAAGCCATTAAATCATAAAACACTTTGCTCTTGATCCAGACCTCAAATGTTTAATGTTCGGATAAATGAACAAATTATTTACCAGCAAGAAAAAAAAAAATCACAGAAAGATACTTTCTTTACATTTTATTGAGCATTTCTCATAGGTAGTATATACGCAATTACTTGACAAAGACACTAACATAAACAAACAATGTAAAAATCCATAAAATATACACTTTCCTGAACGTTTTAGGTAGTTTGGCGAATAACATCAGTAGGTTAAATCCCCCCCACACCCTTCTCCACCCACCCATTATAGCGCAAATACTGGAAAAAGTAAAACAGCTGGAAAGGTTAAATTACCCCCACCCAAAAAATTACATCAATCTCAACGTACACGGTGGGTTCTCCATTGCTTATTTCTATACAGTTTAAATATGAACACCGTATGACAAACACACACTCCTCAGGTGACCCGTGCTGTGTGTATGGGCTTGTTTGAAGGTATATTACACACACGACACGTTTACAAAATAAGATCGTTTGGTTTTTGGGGGGAGGGGGGTGTCCTAAAGCTTCACAGCAAGTGCCTGACAGATAGGAAGTACATTTGACATCAAATAAAATAAAAACTAAGTAGAATAAGAAGTTAGGTGGTTTTCTTGGAATGCAACAAGGATTTTTTGTGTCTCCGAGCAGCTCGTCCCCGTTAGGTTGCATGTTACTTTGTTGTATTTTTTAAAAACACAATGCCACACATCACCCTCTTTCTCTTTTTTCACGTTGCTCTTTCTCCTTTTTCTTGCTTTCTTCTCTTTCCACAGTCTGGCGGTTCCTTCTCCCTCCAAATTATTTCCCAGTTTTAGACAGAGAGGCAGACCCAGTCCAAAGAAGCAGCTGGATGAAATTGTTAAGTGACTGGCGACATTAGAGGGACTTCTATTCTCCCTCGTTCTTCCCTCATCCCTCCTCAGGTAAAAAAAAAAGAGAATGTTATATATACTTTTTTTAACCCCAGAGTTTTCACACCAGACACGTCTGGACGAACTTTGAGATGGGGAGGACTGAACAGGCATGTCTTCGCATCCATCCTCCTCTTCCTCTTCTTTTATGTTTCTCACATCAGTTTATTTCTTTTATGTTTCCCTTCTTTTAGTCCGTCCGTTTCTCCTCTTCCTCGGCACCGTTCACTGTGGACGAAGAGGACGATGAGGAGGAAGAGGAAGAGTTGATCAGCTTGTTCTCCTTCTTCCACTTCATCCTTCGGTTCTGGAACCAGATCTTGATCTGCCGCTCAGTCAAGCAAAGCGCGTGCGCAATCTCGATGCGCCGCCGCCGCGTCAGGTACCGGTTGTAGTGGAACTCCTTCTCCAGCTCCAGGGTCTGATAGCGGGTGTACGTCTGCCGGCCGCGCCTGCCGGGGCTACCGAAGGTCCCTGAGAGAGAAGGAGGGAGGAGAAGGTTACACTTTAACTAGGACCAGACTAACACAGGCTGTACCTGGTGACACACAGCGGAGCACTGCGTCACCTTCAGAGCGGCCTATTCTATTCTATTCGGGCTGTTCATCGTTATTTGTTCTTCCAAGTTGAGGATAAAAAACCTTGAAAATTATTCCAACCTCAAATACTTTCGGTACAGTGTAATATTCAGATAATTCAAATTGTGTATCTGCGTTTTGTTGCGTTGAGCTACTTCAGAAATATATGAAAAATAATTAAAACAAATAAATATATATGCTTTTAACATCAGACGTGAGAATGCTTTATTTTTATACAGTTTATATGCAGTGCAGAATATAGAGTGCGAAATATCTGTGAGCCTGCTGTATAATTATTATTTTTTAATATCAGGGAAGTAAGAAACGCCTTGTTCCTAATATACTGACACTAATAACAATACAAATAATAAACGGATTAGTTAGCACAATGATGACGGTAATATTTCAGAGGGTATTCCCCCGGTGAGGATCAGTTTCCAGGGCTTTAGTCTCTCTCATCCTCACCAACACCGGCCTCTCTCCCGGTGGGAAACAAATCGGCGTGTTGTCATTTCAGCAGCTTCAGTTTCTGTATCGATTTAAGAGCAGATCCACGTGTGTGAACGCGCACGGGGCTCAGGGGCAAGCATCTAAATACCCATAAATACAAAAAAGTGAGGCAAAGCGGATTACGTCCGGGCACTCAGGGTTTCTTCTGCCACTCTGTTCTCTCTCCAGCTGCCATTTACGTCCTCGACTGTCATTTATAGTCTGGCGCTGCGTTTGATTCCCCGTGTCTCTCTCTGCCTGTTTTCACCTCATCCGTCATAACTCGCAGTGTCCTGCAGGGATTCGTACAACAGCAGCCCTCTATTATCCGACATTAGGCTGCGACATCTCAACAGGCCGTTTTCTCTCTTAAACAAAGACAATCAGCTGCTCAGTGCTGCAGCTCGCAACTGTCTTTTTCTACTTCGTTCTGCTCACAGCAGAATAAAACAGGGCCAACTTGCGCTTATTTCTGGAGACATATAAATCAAATCGCCCCCCCACCGTTTCTCATAAACTATGCCTGCGCGTCTCACTTTCCCTCGGAACTTGGCAGGTATGATTGTAATAATATCTAATCTGTTGGGTTATGAATAAACAGTGTCCACGGTGCGAGGTTAACATG